GGAGCGAGGCGGTTAAAGGGTGTGGCCCCCGGAGTGGGGAGAGTCCAACGTCACCTCTGTCCGAACGCCCTCCTCGTGAGCTCACCGTCCTCTGGGCCTCAGTGTCCCCATCTGTAGTTTGGGGGCAATGAGAGCGCGCGTTTGTTAGAGTTGCTGTGCGACATAAATAAGAGAATAGGCGCCCTTAGGGGCGGATCCAGCCGCCCAGCTTTCTCCGTGGCCCTGTTGGAGAGGCTGGGAACCGGGCCGGCCTTGGGCAATGAAGGGCTCAGCTGCTCCAGCTCCCACCGCCGGGTGGAAGTGGGTCTGAGATAAAATCCGGCCCCTCCACACTCCTCAGCCCCGCACCTCAAAAACCCCTCCTCCCGTGCACCGTGCTCCGTGCACCACGCACCATGCACCGTGCACCGTGTGGGCTTCCTGGTGGGGTGATTGCTCTTTCCTTTCAGAACTGGCCTTGACTGTACTTTAAGCTGGTTTCACCTGAGTGAACGGAGGGGGCGGGCAGGTAGTCAGGAGGTTCCTGCTGCAGCCCTTCCCCTAGGGTTTCTCCCCACCTCCAACCTCCACTGGGCTCCAGGCCGGCCCCCTTCCTGCCACCACCCCTCCCTGAACTGCTGAGATTGGGGAGTCAAAGTCACCCTGGGGCTCCTTCCCGCCTTCCACCCTACCTATGCATGATAGATGAAAATAAACTTGGATGATGTGGTGTAATAAACTTCCATAGTGCATAGAAACTTTGCAGGTTCCAGGGCACTTAAATATTTGTCATGGTCATGTCATCCAGACCAAGCCCCTTTGAAGTGGTGCACCTACCTACATTTTATAGATGAGGAAACTGAGGCACGGAACAGGACAGTTACTCCTCCCAGGTCTCTACTGTTCAGGCCTGGACCAGGGCAGTCATTGACCAGACCAGAGGAAACCGCCACTTTGCGTCAGTGGTTGGAGGAAGGAAGTGATGTTAATGGGAGTGAGAATTTAATGAAAACCTTTTTAAAACGTTGCCATCAGGGCTGAATTTGAGTGGTGGAAGGGGCGAAGGCTGGGGCAGGGTGGCAGGCCTGTCACTTCTTTCCAAATGCACTCTGCCTGGGACTCCTTCCCTGAACCCTCCTGAGGCCCTAGGTACATTCATCTTCTTTGCCCTTCCTCCCTCCAGTTTTCATTAGTTTATGGCTTTTTCTCCCATCCCTCCAGCCAGAGGCAAGATTTCACTCCAGGACAAGATTATTCCTGAATTGGGCAAAAACACCACCGGCTCAAACAACTTTTCATTTACCTTCTGGATTCCTATCCCTGTGGCTTTTCAGAAGCTAGTCTCAGTTCCCTCAGTCCTGTGGTGTGTGGTGATCACAGCTTCCTCCCAATCAACTTAATTTTATAACTTGGTGTTTGGATTGATGAGGTATAATACTAATTCCTGATTGTGTGTGTGTGTGTGTGTGTGTGTGTGTGTGTGTCGGGGTGGTTTCCAGGGGCTTCCTAGAAGAGGTAGCTGAGTTGCCTTCTGGAAAATGGAACTGGGGCAATGCTGTTAGGGGAAAGAGTGGAGGGGCTGCTTCTTGGACGGGCTCCCATTGTTATGTGGAGAAATGGAGGGGAGAAACCAGAGATCTGGCCATATCTCCTTGGGCAAGTTACTTCTCTGTGGGCCTCAGCTGCATTTATAAAACTCCCCTGCTCTTATGGGCAATGCTCACAGTTTTAGGAGCTATTAACTGCTGAACTTCTTGTGGTCAAGGAAATGGGTTTCATTCATTCAACAGCATTTATTCAGGGCCTTCTATGTGTAGGAACTCTCTTCTAGGTAGTGGGACACAGGCAATAAGTCAAAAGTCATGGTGCTTATGTTCCAGTGGTGAGAAGAAAGATACAAAAAAATGGTAAACAAGCAATGTAATATACAGTCAGAGAATGACAGTACAAGAGAGAAAAGTAAGCAAAGTAAGGGAATGAGGGCTGTGGATCATCAGGGAAGGCTTCTGAAGAAGTGACATGGGAATGGAATGGGGGAGCGAGACATACCACTATGGGAGAAGACTGCTGGAGACAGAAGAAGCAGCAGGTGCAAAGGCACTGAGGTCTAGGACAAACTTGGTGTGTTTATGGAACAGAAAGACGGCCACCGTGAAGAGTGGTAGGAGGTCACATTGGGGAGATAGGCAGAGTCACATCGGGTAGGGCCTTGTTGGCTAAGGTAAGAAGCTTGATCTCATCTTACCATGGGATGTATTGGAAAGTCAGTGGAGAGTTGTGAGCAGGGACAGTCACCTGATCTGATTTCCTTATAAAATGTAGCAGTGACTAACTGTGGGGTTCAAGAATGGAACCCCAGTTAGGAGGCTCTAACAGGGGTTCCTGTGAGAGGTAATGGTAATCTGGGTAGAATGGCAGGAGTAGGGGTGACCAGAAGTAGCCAGAGGAAAGAGAGACTTTGGAGATGGGGCTAATAGGACTCACTGATGGATTGGATGTGAGGTTGGAGAGTAATGGCTGGGGTTTTTCCCTGGGTAAAGAGGTTGATGATTGATGGTGCTATTTAATGAATGGCTGGGGGGTGGGGGGCGAGGATACTGGGGGAGGAGCACTTTGAGAAGCCATGTTCTGCTCGGGTGCATGTGTGGAGAGTCAGGTAGCTGGGTTTGAAGGAAGATTGAGAGTGTATGCAGGAAAATGATTATAATAATGGGCCATGGGATTTTAGGATAAAGACAGAAGTGAGGCCACAGGAGGGGTGATGGACAGTGAAAAGAGGTAAGAGTAATGTATTGGCAGCTCCAGCTGAACTGAAGAATTGTTGGAATGGAAATTTTAGAGTCAGTGATCTAGAAGGATAGGAAGTGGTAGGCAGGGTGTAGGATCTTTGACAAGAAGATTTTTGGAGGCGGTATAGCTTTCAATGACGGTAAGGTTTGGGATATAACCATGGGAGTGAGTGGCAGAGGGGGGTAAAAAGAAAAAAATCAGTGGAATGGAGCGAATGGGTCAACATGGATCAAGATGCCACAGGTGTCGTTCATGTTGCAGAACAAGATTGTGGACCAGTGTGAGAGGCTGCAGTTACAGAGTGCTGGCATCACCAAGTACGTGGCTGAGGTCCTACCCGGGAAGAACCAGAGAGCAGTGGTAGGTAATTCTTTCCCTTTCCCCCTCTACCCTGGGCCTTCTCCTAGGATGAGACCCCAGCCTTAGGGGCTTGACCAATCTAGGGTCCCTTCCCAACCTCGCAAACTCATGCTACTAGCACGAAGCTGGACGCCCAGGAAGGATGGAATCTCATCTCTCTGAGCTTTGGTTTTACCATCTGGGCAGAGTATCACACCATGTGCAAAGACTCTGCTAGAAAATGCCTTTTGGTGGGTAAGGGATCAGGAAGGGTACCATTCTTCTACCATGTAATTATTTTGTGCTCAGCCTCAGAATTATCAAGTAACCTAGGGACTTTTCCATTGAGCATTCTTCATGATAGTCCTGTGCAGTAGGTGGCAGTAACATCCCTGCTTACAGGTGGTTAACTGACTTGACCTTTTGGCCCCCTGCCAGAGTCAGTTCTATGACCTGGATCTTCTGACTCTCCCGCCAGTGCTCCTCCTGCTGCACCCCACTCCTGATCTTTTATTTGGTTGACTCATTGCCAAGGCTACATCTCTCAAGTATGCCTTTCAAGGGCAGGGGCTATGAATGTCTTTCTGTGCATTCCCTCCCTCCTTCCCCCACGGAAGTACATGAGAATGGACCATTGGGTTTAGTAACATGCACAGTATCGAAGATCCTGACAAGAGGAATTTTGTCGAGTGGTGGGGTGAAAGCCTGATTAGAGTGGGTTTCAGAGAGAATAGAAGAGCAATTTGGGATAGTTAACACAGGCGACTCTTGAGCTTTGCTGCAGAAGGGAGCTGAGAAATGGGATGATAGTGGAGAGAGATAAGGGATGAAGAGGGGTTTTTGTTTATTTTGTTTTTAAGATGGAGAAGTTAATTTATATGTGTATGCTGATGGGAATTCTCCAATAGAATGGGAAAAATTAATGATGCAAGAGAAAGAGGAACATCAGGTAGAGCAAAAGGGGTGGGATCCACTAGTAAACAAGTGGAAGGGTTGGTTGTAGGTAGAGCATGGACAGTTCATCCACGGAAACCGGGAAGGCAGAGTGAGCACAGGCGCAGGGAGGTGGTGGGCAGAGCTTATGGAAGTTGTCTTCTCATTGCTTCTCTTTTCCATTACTTACCCCTTTCCTGTAGGTTCTGAATGATGCCATTTGTTGGTTTATAGATATGTTTTGTTCCCCATCAATCTGTTAATATGGTAAAACATTAATAGAGCTTCTGATGCTAAGCCATCCTTGAATTCCTGGGGGAAACCAACCTAACTTGATCATAATATATATTTTTTTCAACTTTTAATTTTGAGATAATTGTAGATTCATATACAGTGGGTGCAGATCCACATACAATGGTAACATCTTTCCTGACTATGGTGCAATATCATAACCTGGAAATTGACATGGATACAGCTCACCTTATTCAGATGTTACCAGTTTTACATGCATTCATTTCTCTGTGTGTGTTTAATTCTATGCGGTTGTATCACATGGATAGACTCGTGTGACTTCCCCCACAATTGAGATACAGAACAGTTCCACCGTAGGGATCCCTTGTGCTACCCTTTTGTAGCCATGCCCTTTTCCTCCTTCCCCTCGTGGTATTGTTATACAGAATTTCTGGGTTTGGGTTGCTAATCTTAGTGTATGGTTTTTAAAAAGGATTTTTGCACCTATGCTCAGGAGTAAGACTAGCCTATGAGTTTCATTTCTTGTATAGACCTTATCAGATTTTGTTATCGAGGTTATATAATCCTGATTCAATGAGTTGGGAAACAGAACTCTTGATTTTCACTGGAGGAGTTTGTATAAGATTGGAATTATCTGTGCCTTGAATGTTTGGTGACACCCTCTGTAAAACTATCTGGGTTTGGTGGTATTTTTGTTGGTAGATTTTTAACTACTGATTCATTTCCCTTCATACTACAGGATTTTTCCTGTTGTTTTTTTCCTCCCATTTTCCGTTGGTTTTAGTAAATTCTATCTGGAAAAATTATCCATTTCTCTGTTGTTGAATTTAATGCATAAAGTTGTTCTTAATATTGATCAAAGTTGTCACAGGTTTGTCTATCGTGTTAGTCTTCAAAGTACCAACGTTTAGTATATTAATCCTTTTGTATCTTTAAAAAAATCATATCCTCTTATCTTTATAATTTTTTTCTTTTAAATTTTTTTTTTTACATACTCTGTTGTTTTTTAATTTCCTGAATTGAGCTGTCCATCATTTTAGTTTTTCTTATTTCTCAAGGTGAGCATTTTTAAAAAATATATTTTTTTATTGTTTTTGCAGAGAGAGGAAGGGAGAGGGAGAGAGAGAGAAACATCAATGATGAGAGTCATTGATCTGTGGCCTCCTGCACGCCCCCTGCTGGGGATCGAGCCCGCAACCAGGGCATGTGCCCTGACCGGGAATCAAATTGTGATCTCCTGGATCCCAGGTCGATGCTCAACTGCTGAGCCACACCCAGCCTGGCTCAAGGTGAGCATTTAAACCACAGTGCTCCTTCTCGGTATTGGTATAGGTACAATTCACAAATCTGATGTCTTATTTTCATTCAGTTATAAGTATTTTTAAATTTCCACTGTGATTTGTTCTTTCATTGTGAGTTATTAGAAATAGGTTTTTAATATCCAGATGTGTGGTTTTATTTTTTAAATTATCATCATTTTTTATTAATATCTAACTTAACTGCATTGTAATCTGTATGATATCAGTTGTTCAAAATGTATTAAGACTTGATCATGCCCTAAAATATGATCAATTTAGGTGAATGGTTCATATGCACTTGAGAAAATATGTAGGGTTCTATATATGTTTATTAATTAAGCTTATTAATTGGGTCAAATCTTCTCTATACTTATGAATTTTTACTTGTCAGATTTACTGATTACTGGCAAGGGGCATTTACATTTTTATATCATGTCGTGGCATTATCTATTTTTCCTTATAATTCTGTCAACTATTCTTTCTATATTTGGTGCTATTTATGAAATGTGTATTATTTAGATTTGCTATATATTCTTTTTTTTAAAGATTTTCTTGATTTTTTTAGAGAGGGAGAGAGAAACATTGATGTGAGAGCAAAACATTGATCGGCTGCCTTCCGCACGCCCCCCACTGGGGATGGAGCCCGAAACCCTGGCATGTGCCCTGACTGGGAATCAAACCAGTGACCTCTTGGTGCATGGGATGCTGCTCAGCTGACTGAGCCACACTGGCCCGGCTGTTTTAGGTTATCTTGTCACTAGATTTTATTTACTTTTTTTAAAAACTTAAATCTGATAATCCCTGACTTTTAACCAGGGAGTTTAATCAATTTATCGCTATTGTGATTGCTGATATACTTGGATTTACAGCTGTAATTTAATTTTATGTTTTCTATATAGTTTGCTTTTTCTAAGCTTTTTTTCCCCCCTTCCTCCCTTCTTTTGGGTTAATCAACCCCTCCTCCCTCTTTTTCCCTAGTTTAAAACTTATGCATTTTATTTATGGTCTATTTTTGTACCCTTAAGATACACAAATATATAACAATGTCTAAAATGAATCAACCTGAACAATCCAAGTACTGTAAGAATGCTTCCACCCAGCAACCCCTCTGGTTTTACATATTGTTGTCCAATATTTTAAAGTATATCTTTTAATAAATTCTTCCCAGTCATAGGAAACATTCCAATTTTGGTTAGAGATGTCTTCACTGTGCTCTCATTTTTGTATTATGGTTTAGATGAGTATAAAATTCTAAAGCAAATCACAAGCCCTACCCAGGGCGATTGAATCCTCAGCTCCTGATTACACTGATCTTTCAGCTTCCTTTCTACGTTTGGACTCCAGGGGATTTCCTTTACTTAGCTGTCAGAGCAGCTTCACTTTTAAAAGGATGCTTTGGGCTATTTTTCCAGCATTTCTGCGTTTTGTTCTGGGAGGGTTTTTAGTTTTCTCTGTGACATCTTTGGAAAGGGCAGAGTTCTTTTTTCCTATGCTAGTCATNTTCTCTGTGACATCTTTGGAAAGGGCAGAGTTCTTTTTTCCTATGCTAGTTTTTCCTTCTGGGAATAACTCCAGAAGGTGTTGAAACTGACTGTCACCTTCTAGTCAGGGAGTATCTGATACCGCTTGGGTCAGGATCTGTTCATGATCCTGAGCACACAGTATAAACACGGCTGCAGAGACTCACCGCCGTGGGCATCAAGTGGGACTGAGAGAAGAGCAATAGCTGACGTTACTGAGCACTCATGTGCCAGCTTTGTTCAATTTGCTTTACGTGTATTAACCCATTTAATCCTCGCAGTAACCTTATGAGGCAGATACTATTATTATCCTCAGTTGAAAGATTATAAAACTGAGGCATGGGGATGATAAGGAACGTGCTTAAAGTTCCACATATAATAAGTGGAACAGCCAAGATTTAAACTTTGGCACTGTCTCCGAAGCCCAGTTTCCCAGCCCCTGTATGATGTTGCCTCAAGAGAACACTGCAGTGGAATCTGAGCTCCTGGATTCACTGGGCCGCACATTTAGCCACTCCCTCTTCCCCGCTGGGCAAACTTCGGATCTCAGTTTCTTCTGTTAAACAGGGATAGCTGTATAAAGCAGTCTTCAAGGGCAGAGCACAGGGAAGCTGTTGGCTGTCACTGACTTTCTGGCATGAAAGAGACTGTCCTCTTCTCACTTGCCTGGCCAGAGTGCAGGTGCTTCATGCGACAGATGCCTTTGGGTAGGATTGATTACCAGATGGCACCAGCGTAGGGGGATAGTGCTGGACTGAGAGTCAAGAGAACTGGGTTCTAGTCCCAGCTCTGTCACTGACTTGGCATGTGAGTGCTACCAAGAAATTTTTGACTAAGTGGGGGGAAAAATTTCCCATCAGTCCTTCAGTTAATATTTGAGTGCCTACTGTATACCAGACATTGTGCTAGTTGCTAGGAGACACACATTAACTTCATTGGCTGAGAATTGATTTCAGGCCTCCTGTGTGGCAGAAAAGAATTCTACCATGGAAACAGTTGGAATGGACATATTAGGATATAATGAGGTTTTTGTTCTCAGACATGGTCAAAAGTATCAACTGGACCACCATTGGTACAGATCCTGTTGATGGGGGTGACTTTTTTTGTTGTTGTTAAGCCTTGCCCAAGGGTATCTTTCCCACTGATTTTTAGAGGGCGTGAAAGGGAGGGAGGGAAGAGGAGAGAGAGAGAGAGAAACATGGGGCATGTGCCCTTGAGTGGGAACCGAACCTGCGACCCTTCGGTGCCCAGGTCAGTGCTCTCTCCACTGAGCCACACCGGCCAGGGCTGATGGGGATGACTTTGTAGGCCTTTCTCTTCTGCAATTCTATGATCTCTGACCTCGGTCCCTTGGCCTTGCTCTTCCCATCTGTGAAATAAGCAGGTGATCCTAGTTGATCTCTAGGCCCTGCTCTTCCATCCTAGGAACCTCGCTCCAGGAGATATGACCTGGATGCCTGGATTTCAGATGTCTTTACCCTAAAGTAAACTATATTTGGGACTCTTAGGGCCGGGATGGCTTAAGCACTATTACTGCCACTACAGTGCCCATGGCAGACATTGCTAGTCAATCTCAGCAGTCCTTTGGGCTGGGCCCAAACGCTCCTAATCTTTGGCTGGCCTTTGCCAGGATCCGACTTTGTTTTTTATTCCTCATTAGAGCATGGCCAGTGCAGCCCGGGAGGTGGTCATCCAGCGGCTGGGTCTGGTGAGGAGCCTGTGTGAGGCTGAGGAGCAGCGGCTGCTGGAACAGGTGCACGGCGAGGAGGAGCGCGCCCACCAGAGCATCCTGACGCAGCGAGTGCACTGGGCCGATGCTCTGCAGAAGCTCGACGCCATCCGCACCAGCCTGGTGGACATGCTCACCCACATGGATGACCTCCAGCTGATTGTAAGTCAGGCCAGGGCGAGGGCATGACCACTTGGCCAGTCTCTCCAAAAAGTCTGAAAACATCGAGGATGTTTATTGGGCAGAGGTGGGGGATAATGATAATTTGGAGCAGGGATGAGGCAGGGGAATAAAATTATATGGATTTTTCCCCCCCTGCACCTGGTAACTGTCCTTTCAATAGTGAGCAAACATTTACTGAGTGCCTACTGTGTGCTAAGCATCCTGCAGTGGGGTGGAGTTACAGGATTCAGCTGTCAGTGACTCACAGCCTTAGGGAGGAGACAAATACATAACTGATAATTAGGATGTAGAGGGGTATGTGGGTGACATTCCTGGGAGCTAGGCACCCCACAGGACAAACTTGAGGGGGTCGGGGAAGGCTTCCTGGATGAAGTGACTTAGAAGCTGATGCCTGAAAGATAAGAGTTGCAACTATGTTAAAGGCAGTGGGGAGGTGGAGAGAGAACGCGGTACCTGAGGAGCTGACAAGGCATCCAATATAAAAACCTTACAGCTCATCTTCAATCCTTCTCTCTGGAAATTACCATGATGAATATTTTGGTACATATCCTCTCAAAGTATTTTATATAGATATGCAGATACCTGCAATTTTAAGGGACAGTGTGACATCCAAATAAATATGCCAAGAAGAGACATGAGAATGTAGAACAGCTGAGCTGCCTGTCCCACTGCAGTTCAAGTAGGACAGTTTCCATGACTGCCCTAGATTGTGCATTCATTTAGTCACAGTTTCCATGTACAGGGCACATTCTATCCCAAACACTGGGACAGTCCCAATAGAAGACTCAGAAAGGGTCCCAGCCATCTAGTTGCTGACAGTCTTGACGGGGGTGAAATGTTGGGTAAATATGTGCTTGTCCTGAAGTGTTGTTGAGGGAAACTCCAGACACCATGGGGCACAGGGGACAGAGCGATTCATTCTGAGAGCAGGGTGGGGGAGGAATGCGAGGAACACACACAGCTGTGTGCTGTGTCTTAAAGAAGGGAGTAGAATTTTTTATTTTAGAGTCTCTGTCCCCGTGGACCCTCTACACCGGTTGAGTAGATCTTGACTGCCTGCTGGGTTTCTGGTGTGAAGCCTGACTCTGTTTTCTTTTCTCACAGCAGAAGGAGCAGGAGATTTTTGAGAGGTGAGTATGGCCCCATAATTTGCTTGGGCAGCCATGGAAACCGTGACCTTTGGGCCTCTAAATAGTCCATTGCCTTCAGCTCCTCTGCTCCTGGGAGAAAGCCCAGTGCGTGCAGCTGAGTGTCTGCTCTGGAGCCAGGCTCCATGGACAGGGGCTCCCTGCCCCTGGATTGGAGATCTGCTTTAGACCCATGTGGAAGGGCAGTGAAATAATCACTTATTAATCAGGGGCTTGCCACAGTCTAACATTATCCTATTAAAAACTGTACAGTCACCCTGTCGAAGGGTTTTACCAGCCCATCTACAGATGAGAATGCTGAGGCTCAGAGAGGGGAAGGGACTTGCCCAAGCCCCAGAGCTGGGACTGGGACCCACACCTGACACCTGTCTTGGGACTGTCTTCTCACTCCCCCTTTCTCTGAGGGAAGAATCTTTGAAACCCCCCAAATTTGCATTTTTTAAAATTAATCCCCACCCAAGGACATGCTTTTATTGATTTTAGAGAGACAGGAAGGAAGAGAGAGAGAGAGAAACATCAATGTGAGAGAGAAACATCGATCACTTGCCTCCCATACAAGCCAGACTAGGGATCCAACCTTGGACCTTTTGGTGCAGGGGATGACATTCCAATGGACCGAGCCACCGAGCCAGGGCTCAAAATTTGCATTTTAATTATGCAGTGAGAGAAGAACTTCAACAGCCCCTACTTAGGTCCCAAAAGGCCGAGCACCAAGAGCCTGAGGAAGTGGCTAAAAAGATGTAATTTGCCAGGCAAAGAAATTAAATTCTTAATCTTCTGTGCAAGTTTTCAGAGCTGTACTTGGGGAGCACAGCCCTTTCTTCTGACCTATTAAAACTATTAAGATGAAAAATGCATCATCCCTTCCCAGCCTCATTCCCTAGAGGCAATGTTTTAACACTTAGTTGTGTGTCTTTGGGACTTAAAAAATATATATATTTTTAAAACACAGACAGGATCATTTTAGACCTGCTGTTCCATAACTTACCAGGCCATCTCGGAATCTTTCCATGTCAATACACTAGACTTAGCTCATTTTTTGGAGAGCCTGTGAAATGTCTCACAGTACGGATGCGCCCGCCTTCATTGTCCTGCCTCCTCTTACTGTTTGGCTTGTTTCTACTTTCCCCTCCTGTGCTCTTTCCACACTTCTGTTAGTCTCTCTCCTTTACCTTCACTGTCTTCCTCTAATACAGTCAGTCTGTCTTCGATATCAAGCTGATGTTTTAAATGTATAGAAAAGTTACAAAAAATAGTATAATGACCTTCACCTAGAAATACGAATTGCTACCATTTTGCCAGGTTTGCACTTTCTCGCTGTCTCTTTTTTCCTGTTTATCAAGTGTATATATAAAAAACTTCCTTTTTTCTGACCTATTTGAGAGTAAGTTGCAGAAAACATGAGCTTTTATTCCTAAATACTTCAGCATTTATCCCCTAAGAACAAAGACATTCTTACATAACCACAATGTAATGATCAAGTTCAGAAATTTAATGTTGACATAATACTATTATCTAATATACAGTCCATATTCAGGTGTTGCCAATTTCACCAGAAAAAAGTTCTTAACAATGTGTGGGTGTTTTTAATTTTTTTTATTGATTTTTTTTTTTT